TACAGAGTATTGAGTCTTTTCCTTAGTATCAAAATATATTTTATGTTTTGTTTTTTTTATTTTGGTATTGCGACAACACTACCTCCCACACTACCCGACCTTAACTAAACAAGCTTTTATCCGTTCATGCAGAAGACAGTTGACAGTTGACAGTTTTCAACCTCAACTAGAGAAAGCCAATCTAAATGGTCGCTAATTTACATAACCAGTTTCAAAGTAGTTAAGAATTAAGTTGGAAGTTTCCGTTAGCACCAGCATCAAGCACTTATAAAGAAAAGTTAACGCAATCTTAACTCCTACAGACCTGTTATTAAAATCCATGTCAGAAATAAGCATGCTGCTCAACCGGCTCACACTGCAGCCCGGTGATAACAACAACTCGGTCAGGTGACAAAAAGGAAATACTACGAGCTGTACGAAGCTGCATTTTGTCAGTTAGAAATCACAAGGGAGACAGGTGTTTTGAAAAATCCTATGAAAGTTAATACAGTAATTGTGTTCAGAGTCAACACGACTTTGGAGAAGTAAACAGGACAATAACTAATGCAATCAGATGCTCAATTCTTCCGTGTTTTGATAATTATTTTGAATGCATTTTGAATTTATTATTACCATTTATAAGTTTGCTCTTTGTAATTATAATATATTCAGATATGTGAGCTACTGTGTCCAAATAATTTCACCTTCCGGATCAATAAAGTTTGTCAAAGTCTAAGTAACAACTGCAAGTATGAGATATTTTTAGTGGGTCTTTGGTATTCGCATTAAAATCCACATTTCAGTTTATCAGACTATATATAATCTTATAAGTATTGTTAGAAAATGTTATTGGGGAAGATTAGGTACTCCAAGAAAGGTAACATAAAGAAATTTTTTTAGAAAGTGGCAACCATTTATTGACTTTTTTGAAATGGTCTAAACCAACCACCCAACCCCCCATTTAAATTTTTATTGTATTTTATTTATTTTATTATTATTTTTTGTTTTATTATTAATGTATTAATTTATTTTATTTGTTATTAATAATAGCAGTAGTATACTTATTATCATTCTATTATTAATATATTGTATGACGCTACTTGTATTTCTTGACTGATTTGTTTTTGTTAGTTAACTTTATATGTATTATTATGTTTTAGCTGCATAAAAATGAAAAAGTGTGTGTACATGTGTTGTTTGAATGACATATCTATATCTGTTTGCACATAAATAAAAACATACAAAACCAGAAAATGTCAATGTAAATAAAAAAAATCAGGTGATATGCACTCAAATAGAAAAATTACAAGTCAAGCAGAATCTTCCTAAGTCTGGTTTTAACGTTCTTGCTCTCAAGTCCATGGGGTCATGCAGGAATATTCCACAATGCTGCTTTAAATATCTTCTATGTCATCTTTGTTCACTAGTCTATTGTAAAGTTGACTACCTCTGGGCTATGATTAAGTCTTTAAAATAATCTCTTTGAATGAACTACAATGCTTTATATAAAAAGCCAATCTGCTCAACACGTCACTTCGTTCAAGTCTAAATATGAACATAACATTTGCAAATTAACTTCTTTTAATAATGTAAGCAAATACGATACATCTGACAATTTTGTTAGGCGAGTATAAACAAAAAATATTCAAACTTTCTTTCCAACACGCCATGCATATCTATGATCTACAATGCTTCATTTACTGTATAACACCAGCCAAGTGTGTAAATTGTGTAGTACTGTCTGTTAACTCGTGTGTAAATAAACCCTTTTTAACCTGTTTTAATAATACAATAGTAAAGACCTACCTGTCCGTCAAGCTTGTTAAGTGAGTATAAATAGCAGATTGTGTAGCAATGTCTAAAATAACCTGTTTAAATGTTGCTTTAGGAACTGACCTGTCCAGCGAGCATGTTTGTAAAATTTGTATAAATAACTAGTTCAGTATAGTATTGTCTACAGCATAAAAATAACAGTAAAATAAAACATTATAGTCAATAAATAATATAGTAAATAGTCTTCCTGCATGTTAAATGATTCTGGTATAACGTCCAAATACTGTGACTCAAATAACGAAATCAATCAAACCTGCTGGTCCATCGAGCTTGTTAAGTTAGTATAAATAAAGTATTGCGTCAGTCTTCTACTGTCTAAAATAACCGGTTTAAATATTGCTATAGTAAATAGATAGACAGATAGATACATACTTTATTTATCTCGATGGAATTTCATTATATATTTACAAATGATCTAGCTGTCTGTCATGCATGTTTGTAAAGTTAGTATGAATAAATAGTACAGTATAGTATTGTCTACCATATGTGTAAAATAACAATAGTAAATAGTCTTCCCTGCATGTAAAATATTTCTGCAATAATGTCCAAATACTGTATACCTGTGACTGAAATCAATCAAACATACTTGTCCATCAAGCTTAAGTTAATATAAATAATGTATTAAGGAGAATTTGTGGAGTATAACATGTGTAAAATAACATTATAGTAAATAGAGTAGTCTTCCTGCACGTTAAATTTGTCTAGAATAATGTCCCAATAAACCTGTGATCGAAATAAACTAATCAATCAATCAAGCAAACAAACCCACCTCAAAAAACCCTACCTGTTAAGCTTGTTGTATTAGTATAAATAACACACTGTGAAGCATTGTGTACTATTACTATACCATACTGTATACTGCTAAATTCTGCTATGCTGTACTGTGTTTCTAGAGTAAATGGTCGTACCTGTCCGTCAAGCATGTCTCTACTGTTCAAGCCCAGGGGCCGGTCCTCTGTGCTGTTGGTTCTCCGGATGGACAGACTGTGAGCTTTGCGCTTCTGTTTCGGATGACGAGAGGCCGAAGCGGAGCCGCTGCTGGCCCCGCCCTCCACTGGCATCTCTGCTGCTTTAGGCCACGCCCCCCACACACCTTATCCACCCCACAGGTAAACAAAGGGCCAGGCACTGAAAATAGGGCCCGCTGACGTGGATCTGATAGAGAGAAAGTGAGACAGAGAGAGACAGAGAAGGAAAAGAGAGGGAGTACGTTACAAAGTTGACACAATAAAGAAAATATAAAATGCAGAATCATGTTACAGGTGAAAGGTTTAAAGGTTTTAATGGTCACATAAACAAGAAAATATTACACTGTTTGCTACATTTATTGCTGCTATTGCTGCTTGTCATAAACATTTTTATAACCTATATATTAAAAGAAGCTCTGTTACTTCTCTAAGACAAAAAGTAAATCAAAGCCCATTTGTCTGTACTGTGATTTTAATGTTGTTCTTATAGTAAAGCACTTTGAATTACGTTGTGCATGAATTGTACTATACAAATAAACTTGCTTTGCCTAGTATATCTCCCCAAAGACACTTCTTCTTTTACGAGCAATGCATGGGTTTCTTCATCTTGTTTTTAAGCAACGGCTTTGACCATTCAGTAGATAAAAAGTATAGCTTTGAATTGTTAATTGGTATGGCAACGGTGCATATTTTTCATTAAACCCAAAGATTAGAGTAGGAAACATATATTTTTAAAATTGTAAACTAAAGATAAACAAGTTAAAGGTGTTTGCACTCAAATATAATGTTTATACTTTTGTTAAATTTCAGCGGGTAAGTTCTTGATTAGGGTTATCCAGAAACTGATAGCTGTAAGTATCAGACTTGTTTGTCCTTGAAACCAACACTTTCCTAACAAGAGAGTGACAGTTCCAGTTCACCTTGTCTCCTTAGTTTAAAAACACTATGTAAATGAATGAATATATTGTAAAAAGCTCATATAGTTTAATGTAAAAAGTCTGAAAAAGGCAAAATAAAGATCATTTTATTAGATTAGAAGAGTGGAGGTGGGATTAAATAAATTTTCTTCTTCTCACTCCTTTATGGGCTTTTAAAAATTTATTTATGCAATAATTTCACTATTGTTAGACGTAAATTTGCTCAAAATAAATAAATAAACACCCCAGCCAAAGCAATCTGAACATTGTTACTATAATCATGTACGTAAATAACTTTTCAGCATTTAAATAGTGTAAAGACATACGTAAAGCACTGTGTTCTTGTACATGTTTTACGTAGGGTTTAAATATGGTTCAATAGCCGACCATAATCCATTTTATCTCGGTAGACATCTATAATTGCCATGCACGCATTCTTATTTCATTCACGTATAATCTTTTGATACTTTTTCATAACATAACATTATAACTCCCCATGTCTCACGCACAATCAAACACTTAACTCGTTTTACAAGCCCACAGTTTCCTCTTTTATCATATGCATGCATTATAACGTCATTTTCCCTATATAGCTAAACCAGTTTACATTTTTGACAAGCCTTTTGCAAGATATTCAGGGTATTACAGTTAATAATTTCTGATCTAAATATAGCTCCCTCCATAAATAATCGTGTCCCTGTCATGCATCAAAGTATTTATGGATTGTACAACTCTGTGGGTAACCAAATACGTGTTGACATAATGACGACTACGCGTTTAATGTCTTTTATGGGGGTTAAATGACCTTGGTTTGATTAAATAAACAAAACAAACCCAGGCAGCGCAAGGTTGACCTGTTACAGTGACACTAAGATTGACGCAAGCTATTCTCGGATCACGATATCGCAGCAGAATAAATGTATACATGGCTTTCTAAACAAATTTATAGGGTTAAAGCACTCACCATTCACAGTTTAAGCCTCGGAAATATCATGCAAAACTACAAGTGAAATGTAAAAAGTGAGATTAGTCTGGTTAGCGGGAACTAGCGAGCGCCACCTTCACTGCTGCACGATCCGTATCCTCAAAAAATAAAGATCAAATAGTGTCTTAACATGCATGAGTGTTCAGTATGGGTGGCTCTAGCGTGCGTGCTGATGAAACGAGTTATATATAGATTATGCAAAGCGAGGGATGTTGTTTTTTTTATTAAAATATTTTTGACACATCACGTATTTTGGTGTAGCAATCACTTCCGCATCCAGTGGGTCGTGTTTGCATTTTTTGGACCAATCAGGTGAGACGTAAGTCACGCTGACACGGGCCCTGCTGCTGTTTCGTGCTCGGAGACAGCGGCGCGTTTAAGGGGGGAAAAAAGAGGTGTAAAAAGCGCAGATTGGAGCCGATGCAGCGGGATTGCAGTGAGAGTGAGTGGATGTTCTTTGTGTTTCTGCCCGTGAGTCGTGCGTGAGTGAAACCGTGCGTACTTTGGGGGTACTTATCAGGAGCTGGTGGTGTGGCGCTCTGCAGCGATGGTCCGATGGCGTGTGAACAGCCCGGGTTTATGGGAAAATGTGGCGGGAGATCCACTGGAACGGGTCAATAGTGCTGTCAAACTCCTGCCTCCGTTTTGGCTCTGTCTACATAAATATTATTAGGGATTAATACAGAGAACACTACTTTATTAGGTGGATAAATGATTAGTTTGATTGGGACACTGAGTTTGTGATGGTTGGTAATAATAAAATTGTGAAATGAGTGCGTAATTAAGGTAAATTGTTATGCACTTGGTCCATTCATGACTAACATGTGTCAGTATAGTCACATTTTTTTTGTATTTTGGTCATTTTTAAACAGCTTTTCTGTATTTTACCTCAACAGATGACAGTTTATGCCTTTCTTTGCTATTTGTGGGTATCAAATAGGTAAAATATAGCAACACCTGGGACATTTCTTTTATAAAACATGGACAAATCACTACTTTTGGATAAATCTGCTGTGACGGGGACACAGGGCTCAAAGCTGGGACTGTCCCGGGTAAATAGGGATGTCTCATCACCCTATTTTGAACAAAGTAGTGAAAAAATCGAAATAATCAGACATTCAATCATAGGTCTGACTAAACAGACACAAGTGAGTTTCCTTCACAGAAGAGAGAAGCTCAGTCATATGAGACTTACTCTGAGTAGAGTCACTGCTCCCTCCAAGAAGATATTTTAGGCATCTCTGGAGGGATTCTTGCTTTGACCTGGGAACACCTCGGGAGCTAAAGGAAATGTGTGGAGAGAGGCATCTTGGCAAACCCGGAAGGAAATTGTGGTTAAAAAAAAAAAACAGCATATGGTGTTCAATAAATTACATTTTTACGCAGAAAAAAGTGTTGCATAACAGGAAGTTGAGATGTGCCACTGCAACCATTATCTCAGCAGCCATCTGTGGTTACTAAGACTTCATCGAACATCAGTACATGATAATAATACATTGGTTTTATTTACCACTTTTCACAGTAACACAAAAACGCTTCACAATAAAGTAATACTAAGGACAGGACAGACAAAACAGTAATGAGGAGCAGTCATGTGTGGGGGCTATAAGCTATTAGGAAACGGTGTGTTTTAAGCAGTTTTTTCAGGTGTTTAGTGAGTAAATTGTATATCTTAGTTAATAATTTACGACTGAATCTTTGTGTTATACTGTTTCTAATTTGGTGTCAACTTTGCCCCAGTTTCTAGAGCGAGCCCCAGCCTAAGTCCAGTCCACCTATCTTGTTCTGCTCCACTCCGGGCCTTCCGCACATCCCACCGTACTCGTCTCCCGATTGGCTGCGCGCTGCGGTCACGTGATGGTGCGGGTCTTGCGGGCGGGGCTTCGCTTGCTGTCCAGTGACGTCACCTGTCTGCTAAAACCACGCGCTTCCTCAGTTTGTGCAAAAGGAGCGCAATTTTGGAGCAGAGACGCCGCAAAACACAACTTTACTGCGTCCCGGACAGTTTGTAGGTACGTGTGCGGCTCCGTGCGCAAGTTTGCGGTTTAACTTTGTAGTGTTAAGTGATCAAAGTGTCAGAGATAAGCCTATTATTTTGGGACTAAGCTAAGGATAGCGTTCAGGCTGTCACTGTTTACTGTTTATTCCACTTTAAAACTACACATTTATAACATATGGTGCACACAATTTTTACTTTATTTACTGAAAAACGTTAACATGGCCTTTTATAATTTAAGTATTTAGTGGTACGGATTTTTCCAACGACTTTCTGCCATTAATAATAATATGCTGGTCAATAAATACTATAGTTTACGTACTTTTCCTAGTCTTTAAGCAAAATAAAGTAATTTTTATAGATGTTAACACTCATTCTCGTGGTATTATGGTTGATTAATTATAAAATAAGATAAAAAATAATACAAATGTAAATAAAAATGTCACTTAAATATATATTTTTGTGAGAAAAGTGGCTAAAATTGGTGGTTTCCCAATCCTGCTTGAAGCAATGCATTATTTTGTTGTGTCCTTGGGCAAGACACTTCACTCATAGCAATGTCACTGTCAGTTATGCTTGGGGCAATGATCAACTAAAGTACAATATTAAAACTACATCACGTTCTTTATGTTATTACCTGTGTATGCCCATGTAATTGCATTTTTTTTCTGATATACTTGTATGTCTGTGTATTTTTTAACAGTGGAGTGAGAAGGTTCTCTGTGAAAATGCCTGAAATCACCACAGATCACTTAGACGAGAAACAGGTGCAGCTTTTGGCGGAAATGTGCATCTTAATCGACGAAAACGACAAAAAGATCGGAGCCGACACGAAGAAGAACTGTCACCTCAACTCCAACATCGACAAAGGTGGATTATAATGTCTTAATTAAAGCATTTTTGGAGACTTTTCCTGGTTTTATACTCGAGGTTCACTCCAATTTTCACATAAACCAGACCAAAATTGGGACTAAATTCAGGACTGAACCCAGAACTAAACATGGACTTGAAAAGGACCAAATCACGTCTACATTAGGACCAAAACAGGCTCAAACCAGGACGAAACCAGGAACAGTTTGAAACTCAAATAAAGAAAGTTAATACTGAAATCTACACTGTGTTAATATGGGCTTGTCTTTTGCAGGTTTATTGCACAGGGCTTTCAGCGTCTTTATTTTCAACAGTGAAGAAAAGCTGCTCCTACAACAGAGATCTGACGCCAAAATCACTTTTCCAGGTTAGTAACGTGCTTCAAATTAAAGAATATGGAATTAAACGGCAAGTTATAATGCAGCTATTATTTAGTATACATGAAAGACTTAAATTAAATAACTTAAAACAAATAACTTTAATCTTATCTTTACCCATCACCTGTATCTTTTACAACCATAAACCATACATTTAGCTTATTAAGAATGATTCAGGCTTAGTAACTACTCCTTAGTTCTTAAGTCTTGATAAACTAGTGGTTCTTTTATGGTTTTGTGAATGAAATCTTTGTTTATGCTTTATTAAGGCTAATTAATGTGTAGTTATTATAAGTAGGGCTGAGTATCTTTAAGAAGTTGCCGATACGATAGATATCTCGATACTGTGCACTTTCGATTTGATATTTCAAATCAATTTGATATAGTTCAATAAAAATAAAGACTAAGATCATGGCTGTGATACTAAAAGTCTTTGTTAAACCACTCCTTGTGCAAAGTTTATATGAAACACAAACATTTAAATCATCAAAATGTCATCAAATGTGTTGCATAAATGAGTTTCCTTCCACTAAACAAGCAACAAAACTCAATTTCATTTCTCTCCAGCGACTAGGTCAGGAATCAGAATACACTAGACGATTTGCAAAAACCCTGAAAGTGCAAGTTTGGGCACCAGTCAATCAGCGAAGAGCCATATATTCTGTGTTGTCAACGATTCCCAAGATTGAAGATTTAAAGCCGAAATAAAGAGAATGTTTGGTGAATTTCATCAAGGGGAAAGATGTTATTGTCCTTCTTCCTACGGGATTTGGAAAAAGCTTTATATACCAGTTAGGCCTGTTAGCAGTTCATTACATACGTCACAATCAAATAGCAGCAATTGGTTAAATGATAAAGAGTACCCACCTACCATCGAGCGAACGAATCTTAACACTGCGAGGTCAGACGTCAGACGAGTGAAACCCTCTGATGAATCAGGCTAACAAAACTGTAGCACTGTAACAAAATAATTTTGTAAAATATACAAAAAATACTCTTGGATATATATCAATACAGCAGCCCACGATATCGATACTGTATCATCACATTAAATGACGATATATCGATATTTCAATATTTTTGCACACCCCAAATTATAAGTGTGACCTCATTATGAATATGTTAGTAATGCCTTATCAAATATTGTACATTGATCTTAAAATTAATGTGAACTTGGAAAAAATATGACTAGAGAATTCTCTTTTACAACTGCAGCTTTAAGAAAACTATTGTAGAACTCTACACTGTATCTAGATGACTTAATTCATGTTAAAAGTACATTGCCTTTGTGTGTCCAGGCTGCTTCACAAACACCTGCTGCAGTCACCCTCTGCACACGGAGTCTGAGCTGGAGGAGTCGGACGCCATCGGGGTGAGGAGAGCTGCTCAGAGGAGACTGGAGGCAGAGCTGGGCATCCCCATGGCACAGGTCCGGTATCACAGAGACTAAAATCACTGCTTAAAGTAAAAAAACAACAAAGAAAATAAGATGGTGGTTTGACAGGTCCCTCCAGAAGAGATGACGTACCTCACCAGGATCCACTATAAAGCTCAGTCTGACGGAGTTTGGGGAGAACACGAGATCGACTACATCCTCTTCATGCAAAAGGTGATTCACAATTTCAACCCATTTTAGTTTTATCACTGTACAGGTCAGTATTTATCACATTGTGGGAACTTATATTGCATTCACGGCAACTGATAACTAGGATTTTCCCACCTGTATTTAAGAAAAAAAAGTGCCCTGGAACAATGCTCAAACTAGTTATTGACTTCCAAATACAACTTCAAAACTTTCAGTCACTGGTAATGAACAATACATACAACGTCACAGTCGAAAAGCATGACAACGAACAAGGACATAGAAATAAAAACAAAGTTACGTAGTGCAATCAAAATACAACTGAGCACTCTTGGTTTTCTATATCGATTAACTCAGATCCAAACAAAAATTAACAAAAGATAAAACTAGAGCTACCCTTTTATACTTTTTTTGTAATCTATTACTTGATTTATTTATTTTTGTAAATTTGTGTTTATTTTTTCCATTTAATCTTGGAGTGGAGTTGAAAGCTAGAGCTGCCCTTTCATGCTCTCTAATTTTTACTTGATTTTTGAGTAGATTTGTAAAATAAAATAGGATTTTTTATTTACTGGATGTGGAAATTTGTGTTTTTTAAATTTAGTTTATTTACAGGACGTGAAGTTGAAGCCAAACCTAAACAAAAATTAACCCAAAAATTATAAATAATTATAAAAGAAAGCTAGAGCTACCATTTCATACTTTTTCTCCAATCTATTACTTGATTTTTTTTTTGTTTAAGTAAATTTGTGTTTTGCTTTTTTTTCCCATTTAATCTTGGAATGGAGTTTACAATTTAGAGCAAATTTTTACTTGATTTTTGAGTAAATTTGTGGGTGTTTTTTTATTTTTTATTTACAGGACGTGAAGTTGAACCCAGACCTAAACAAAAATTTACCCAAAAGATTTATTTAAAAAATTGTAAAAGAAAGCTAGAGCTACCGTTTCATACTTTTTTTTCCAACCTATTATTTGATTTTTTTTTTTTTTAGTAAATTTGTGTTTATCGTTTCCATTTAATCTTGGAGTGGAGTTGAAAGATTTTTAAGTAAATTTTGTGTTTTGTTTTTTAAATTTTGCTTATTTACAGAACATGAAGTTGAAGCCAGACCTAAACAAATATTAACCCCAAATATAAATATAAACCATAAAAGAAAGCTGCAGCTACCCTTTTATACCCTCCAATCTTTTATTTGATTTTTGAGTAATTTTTGTGTTTGGTTTTGTTTTTTTCCATTTACAGGACGTGGAGTTGAACCCAGACCCCAACGAGATCCAGAGCCACTGTTACGTGAGCAAAGAGGAGCTGAAGGAGCTGCTGCAAAAGGCCAAACAAAACCAAGTCCAGATCACTCCCTGGTTCAGTCTCATCGCCGACACTTTTCTGTTCAAATGGTGGGACAATCTGCACGACCTCAAGCAGTTTATGGACCATGACCACATCCACCGCATGTAACCAGAACCAGTACTATTAATACAGCTACTACTACACTACTACTACTATGCCTATTTCAACTAGTACTGAGGGAAGGGGGCTTTTAGTCTAAAGAGAGTCACTGTTTTTGGACGAAATCTCCAAACAGAAACCCACAGCTGTTTTATAACCACGAAGCTCAAAAGTCCCGCTCACTTCGAAGTTGGCTCTGGATCCAGAAGTAACATTTCCATTAATTTTTCTTACAGACTTCTCAAAAAAATCAAATATTAAGAGTTCAAAAGCATCACAGAGGAATGTTTAAAATCCTAAATTCTGCAAAAGCTTGTTTAAAATGCTAAATTCGGCGAAATGTTTTAATAACTTTGCCGTTTATAAAGTTTCAAGAACAGATTTTAAGTAAAAATTATAGATCTTGTGGTCATTATTAGTAATTATTTTGCAGATAAGCCCTGAGCAAGAGGGCTGGGTATCATTAAGAAGTTGCCGATACGATACACACCTCGATTACAGTGCACTTTTGATTCTATACGATATATTTCAACTCGATTTGATACGGTTCAATAAAAAATAAAGGCTAAATCATGGCTGTCATACTAAAATTGTTTGTTACACACCCATTTTAATCATCAAAACAGTGAAAATGTCACACGTGTGGCTTGAACGAGTTTCCTTCCTCTGAACAAGTAACAAAACTGTAGCATTGTAACAAAATAATTTAGTAAAATAAACCAAAAAATACTGTTGGCGATGTATCGATACAGCATCCCATGATATCGATACTGTATCATCACATTAAATGACACGATATATCGATTTTTCAATATTTTTGTACACCCCTACTAAGCAAGCTTTTAAACTTTTAATATATATATTTTTTGGAAAGGCTATTGGTAAAATTTATGGTAAACTGGAAACTTCTGGAACCAGGGGTGTGAGATCGCTTTTGAACTCCACGTATTTTTGTTTTGGATTGAGTTTGTGATGGTAAAACTCCGCTCTGGTCTCTGAAAAACACTTATCACAGAACTCATCACAGAATTTCCACATTTTAAGACAGTAAAAATCAGGTTTTAATCTGGTAGCAGCCAATAGTCCTTAAGATCATGGTGGGTTGTTTAGTTGAAATCTCTAAAATTGACAACATTAAGCTTAATTTGAGTTTTTTTGACAGGTTTTTTGGTTATTAGCCCAAGATAATGTGACTATTATTGCAAAAGTATGCATTCTAAATTACACAAACGTTACTTACTGCTCCTTTTGGGCAGCGTAACGAAGCAGTAATAGTTTATACTCTGGAAAAAGAAAAAGCATCAGTGTTAAGGACATGCATGTAGAGCTAAAATAAGACAGAATCGCAATATTAGACCTTCACAAAAACTTCTACGCACAACGGCTTTTTGCATTTTCTGATCACTGTCGCAATGTGAAGTTACTATGAGGACAGGCAACTTTGTGTACGCTCTTGTATGGTTTAAACAACTGAATAAATCTGCTAGGTTTTTATGAATAAAGTATATATTTATACTATATTCTGCCTGGAAATGTCTTTATTTGATTATTTGTATTTATTTCAAACAAGACAGTGGGACAACTCATATTAGATGTTTTGGAAGTTTCCACATTGAGATAGACGGTGAATATAAGGTACAGAGGTAGAGAATATAGTAGAGGTAGTGATATTGAAGAGTAATATAAGAGTAATTGATAATAATAAGTAAGTAATAAGTAATAGATAATAATATATACTTTCAAATAAAAAATAAATATAGGCTACAAATATGTATATATGAGCAGTACTGCGATGTATAAAACATAAAATATACTTTCAACATGAAATAAGGCATAGAAAAATCCAAAATGAACTATATATCCAGCTGTTCTACAATCTTTATATTTAAAAATAAAATAAATATACTTATTTATATCAAAAATATTTTAACTTTGTTTTTGCTTTAGATCACACTCACACTAGAACTGTGCCGTGCTCCTCAATTTTGCCAGCAGGTAAATCGTAAATCGTTTCAAGTTAATTATATGAGTTTGGAGATCATTGGACACACGAATCAAAATCATGATCAAAATTCAAATAATTGCACAACCTTAATAAACGGTACAGAGGAGAGATGCTATTACATGGGTAGAAGAAAAAATAAAACCTATATACTAAATGATACAGAAACTACTTTTAAAACTACATTTTCAGTATAAATAAAAATAAGTACAGCGATACTGGACCTGAAGTATACAAGTATTAGAACTAGTACAGGTCAACAGTGGTACTTAAGCGTTCACCTTGCCTTACATTTCTATTCAAAGAGGACAAGTCTGAACAACATCCATTCACACAATAAGTTTAACTCAGTTTATGAACATTGGGTGGAATCCAAACACTGACAGCACGTGGTGTAAGTATTTCCATTTCACACTCAGTTGCTTTTTGTGCATCTAAACTTAGTAATATATTTATCGTTGCGCTTGTCTTAGCTCATGAAATAAGATTTAGTGTTCGTATGAAATTGTTAGCGCCCTGTCTTCCAGGTATTAACCCTGTTTGATCAGATTTAATTAAATTTTATATATGTTTCTGAATTCTTTTTGCCATTATACTTATTATAATATTTTTAGATCATTACAAAGTAAACTGACAGGGCGATAACTATCACATAATCTTCATTTGGTGCATATATATTTAGTACAGAAATAATTTAAGTAAATTTAAGTTTACATGTATGTCAACTTTGTTTTTGACTCATTTTGGTTTTAATCTATGTATGTATTTATGTATTTCTCTTCACCATCCACTCCTGCCATAACTGTTGTGATAGAAATTTAGATTGTGGAAAGATTTCTCTCATTCTGATTTCTGACCTGAGACCAGACCCCCACAGGAAAATATTGATTATGATTGATTACATTAAAATAGTGATTAGTTTCTCTTTTAGAAACACATTTGGTCTTGTAACTAAAACTCATTTGGTTTGTTAGAAAGACCCTTCAGTGTAAATACTTCTGTTCCCTTTTGCTTGTTGATCTTGTGAGGAAGTGACAAACGCAGGTGAATATGGAGCAAATCAGATCAAGCACATCTGGCCACACCTCAGTAAGAGTCGTCACCTTCTCACTTTGAAATGTACGTCTTGGTGCTTTGTAACATCGGGAGAGATACAGGGCAGATACTGGGCGGATACTGGGCAGATGCAGGGCAGATACAGGGCGGATACTGGGCGGATACTGGGCAGATACTGGGCAGATACTGGGCAGATGCAGGGCAGATACTGAGCGGATACTGGGCAGATACAGGGCAGATACTGGGCGGATACTGGGCGGATACTGGGTGGATACTGGGCGGATACTGGGCGGATACAGGGCGGATACTGAGCGGATACAGATTGGAAACAGGGCGGATACTGGGCAGATACTGGGCAAATACAGGGCAGATACTGGGCAGATACAGGGCAGATACTGGGCAGATACTGGGCAGATACTGGGGGAGAGACTTGGAAGATGGGGCAAGATGTGGTAGGGACATACTTCTGGTGTAGAGATGATGTTGGGCTCTGGCACAGGCAGGCCTAGGCTCTGTCCATATCTGCTGTGATAAGAATAAACCTTGGTCTATATTCCAAAAACTCATGGGGCTTTGCAAATGGATGCATTATTTATCTTTAAGAGATATATACATTTTTCCACAACACTGAGAATTGGACTTTGCACTGATGCAACAACAATCACACCTGCACTTTATACTGGATATACTTTTGTTGTTTTGTTATGATGTTTTGTTACTGTAATACATAAAAAAAAAAAAAAAAAAAAAAAGGCTCCTCATGTTCCTCGTGTTCCTTTAAGGCTCGGAGCTCCTTCCTCTCTCCTCCTCCTCGTCTTTCTCACTGCGGCTCTGGTCTTCGTGAGGGATAAACTTGGGAATTGGTGGATTTTCCGGATTCCAAACTGCCTTTTCCTCCACAGTGAGTTGTTGTTGAGTTGTTGTTGACTTCTTGAGCAGTAGTCGATGTTATATTTTTGTGTTTAGCTCGTATTTGTGTCGGTAAAAGCTCTTAGCCGTTAGCGCCGCTCCCATTCAAAACCCCTGTGGATATTCCCGTTGTTTACTTGCGCTTGGGGTTTTTCAAACACCGATTATACTAATTAAATATTGAACGCTTTTAAGTTTTCATTCAAGCTGGATTGTAGATAACAATGTAGTTTACTAGAAACATTCATTATTTTCCTCGTTTGAGTTGATTTTGTCCATTTGACAATTTTTTGAGCGAACACTAAATAAGCGATAGGATTCCATTTAGTTTTTCCTCATTGAATATGAATGCAGTGTTGGATCTTGGGTTTCCAGAATGAGTCTAGATTTACAAATAGATTTGTATTTGTAAATATATATTTTTCACTTGCAAAAAAAAAGAGAAAAAAACTCACTTGTAAAACTGAAAATTCTGTTTGTACAATGTGATTCGCATTTGTGGATCACCAATTACACGAATTCACCAATTTACGGTAAGACGTAATTTCGAGACACTCGTTTTTGGAAATGCACAAACTCCGACAGATCCACAAACTCCGACAGATCCACAAACTCCGACAGATCCACAAACTCTCGACAGATCCACAAACTCTGACAGAGCCACAAACTCCGACAGATTCACAAACTCAGACCCACAAACTCAAATCCACAGGTTAGGTAACGTCACTTAATAATGTTAATGTTTACCATTATCAATAGGGCAAAACCAGGACTGGACAAAGACTAAACCAGAACTGAACCAGGAATAAAGCGGAACTGAACAAGGAGGATTAAACCAGGACTGATCTGACTCCTCACATCACAAATCTGCACTAATAACTAATAAGTGATACTAATGGTATAATGGGTAACCACTGTACTCATGGACACTGCTTTTGGATAAGAGCAGGAAAAATAGTTGAACTTTTAGTCCCCCATTAATAATAACAAATTATTTGGTTGAAATGAAGAGACGGTCTGTTTACTCATAATGCCGTTTTTCGTTTCCCTTGAAAGGGACAGACTAGTCCAATGTTTTCACTGTGGCAAAACAGCTGCAGTGACAATTGCTCACTTCATGTGCTGCTGCTGCACATCTCAGTCCATGTTTGCCTTTCCCTTTGACTGTAAGGTCACATAACTAAAACGGGCATAGTATTACGCTGCCCTCTGCGCCTCAGTCTTTGTCCAGTCAATCAAAAATGTCCCGTAGTGTGGACGGTGCCGCTCCACCCCTTTATTCTGTCTCTCATTCGACTGTCACTACCGCGCCACATCTCCAGGAAACTTCATTACGCATCGGCACAAAGAGCGAACTCCACGCTTGTTTAGCCCCCTCCCCTTGAGCAACAAAGTCGTTCAATGTCTCTGTTTATGTTTCCTTGATTTGATCTTCTTTTGCTACAGACAGGAAAAGTGTGACTTTAAAATCAAATACAAACTCAGTTGATTCATTCAGCCAAATGGAACTTGCTTGTAAAACACTGAAACATTCTTACATATGATTCACTGTGTGACTTTATGTGTATTTAGTCACAGTTACTTTATTTGAACAGTTTACTATGTGGATTTTATTTGACCCTTCCTTTCTTTTGTCCTAATGCAGAGTTTACAAGATCCACCAACAGAATGACCTTCACATGTGACCAGTGTGGAAAGATGTGGCCAAGTGCTTCCAAACTGAAAGAACACTACAGGATCCACACAGGAGAGAAACCATACAAGACTGATCAGCGTGGGACGGGATTTAGAGAGTCTGGTGGCCTCAACAAACATATGAGAATCCACACAGGAGAGAGGCCATACAAGTGTGACCAGTGTGGGAAGGGATTTAAATGCCACACTGGCCTCAATCGACATATGAGAGGCCACACAGGACAGAGGCCATACAAGTGTGACCAGTGTGAGAAGACCTTTTCACAATCAAGCCACCTACTATCACATCTGAGAATCCACACAGGGGAAAAACCATTTGAATGTGACCAGTGTGGAAAGAAATTTAGAGAGTCTGGTGGTCTTGATTTACATATGAGAATCCACACAGGAGAGAAACCATTTGAATGCGACCAGTGTGGGACAAGATTTAGATATTCCAGTGGTCTCCGTCAACATATGAGAATCCACACAGGAGAGAGGCCATACAAGTGTGATTTATGTGAGAAGACATTTTCACATTCATGCACTCTAGTGTCACACGTGAGACTCCACACAGGGGAAAAACCACATAAGTGTGATGTTTGCGGGAAGACTTTTGTAGTGTCAAGCCACCTAATATCACATATGAGAATCCACACAGGAGAGAGGCCATACGAGTGTGACCAGTGTGGGAAGGGATTTAGACAGTCTAGTGCTCTCGAAATACATATGAGAATCCACACAGGGGAAAAACCGTACAAGTGTGATGTTTGTGGGAAGACTTTTTCATTGTCAGGCCACCTAAAATCACATATGAGAATCCACACAGGAGAGAGGCCGTACAAGTGTGATCTGTGTGAGAAGACCTTTTCACACTCGAACAGCCGACTATCACATGTGAGAATCCACACAAGGAGCAAACCATTTGAATGTGACCAGTGTGGGAAGAGATTTAGAAAATCTAGTAGCCGTCGTGAACATATGAAAACCCACACAGGAGAAAAACCATACAGATGTGATGTTTGTGAGAAGACATTTTCACAGTCAAGCCACCTATTATCACATATGAGAATCCACACAGGAGAGAGGCCGTACATGTGTGATCTGTGTGGGAAAACTTTCTCTGTATCATCCACTCTCTATTCACACATGAGAACTCACTCCCGGGACAGACTATATGAGTGTGACCAGTGTGGAAAGGCTTTTAGAACATCCCAGGAGCTCTCCAGTCACCATCGAATGCACACAGGAGACGAACCAGACAACTGTGAACAAAGAGGGAAGGCTTTCGGGTCTCTGAGGAACCGTCTGAAACATGTCCAAACGTTCCAGAGTGAAGAGAAAAGTTGCAGCTCTGACCAGTGTGGGATGACTTTGAGGCAAGCTGCTAAACCGAAGTTGCACCCTCTGGAACCCACTAAAGGAGATAGAGCTGCTGAGGTCAGATCAAGTGAGTCTAAAGTCAGACTCAAACAGCTGGAGATCAGGCTTCAGAGACTCTGGACTGAGGACATGAGCTCTGCACAGTGTCACAAATTAAAAGCTTAAAATGAGAGAACAAGCAGAACGTATTGGCAACCACACCTCAAGCTTCATCACTAAGCACCAACCGACCGCTTACAGCACTGACCACATACAGGACCGACCGACCGCCTACAGGACAGATTGCCTGGTGAAGTTTTATACGTAGTATCAATTTTTGACACTTGCCAAAGTAAAGTTCCATGAGAAATTTTATGAAGTTCTCTTGATATTTACTGGGTCCATCAAGCCTCTGAAGGTTAGTGCCTGCAGAAGCCTTAAATGTGAGCTGAAAAATCTGTTATTCTTTAATAACATAAAAAAGAATTAATTTAGCCCAATAGTATCAATGGAAGTTGAATAGAAATAGCCAGAGCCTTATGGACGCTCTTAGGCTGGAATTTAAGAGACTTAATGGACCGAATAGATTTTATTCAACTGAGCAAATATTCCACAAATTTTCTTTTATTTGGTGTTGTCACATTTTAAAATTGGGTACAAGTTGAATTTCTGACATTGCAAATGATGCACCCAAACCACCAGGCTCTGGGACGATAAACTTTTCGAAGTTGAATTTAATGATATGTAAGGATTTTTTTAATTAGAGGTTTTAGCTGAAGTTTGTTCATCTTATTCTTCATTGTTTTGTTTTTCACTTTGAGCTTTTAGCCCTGCTTCACTGCACTTTCCTAATCTGAGACAAACCTGAAAATGCATTTTGTCTTTTTATTCTGTTTTGACTCTTGTTAGCAGCCCACAGATGTTTATTCTTTTCATGGCTCCTGTGATTAAAAAAAGTGAAGTTAAATATTAGAATTGGAAAATAAAATCTGTTTTTAGATCATTTGTTGTTGCTTTCCTTGTCTTATGTGTCACATTTGGGTCAGTCCAAATGAAATCAGCCCCCCTTCCCTATGAGCCATCTCAGATCTGGCTGAAAAAAATTCAAAACTTTTCTAAAGTCACCATATGACAAATCTAAAATTTTAGCTCAATCCCTTCAGTCGTTCCAGAGTTACGGCCCGTTGAAATTTTGGGGCCATGCCCACTTTTTTGGAAACCTTCATTTATGAGCATTTTTTGAGACCATAACTTCATAAAAAATAGAGCTAGGAAGCATTTGTACTATTGTAGATTCTTGGTCATAGACTGTAAATATGTGGTCAAATATTGGGTGTCTTTATTAAGGGGGTGCTGTGAAAAACTAGTTTCTTTGTGAGATAACAAATTATCTTTCTCAAATAAAATTACAATAAATAATGCAAACAATGCTTTTTTCATCATTTTGTTAATAGTTGAATTTTCTCAGTGGTTTAATGACACTTTTCCAATCAGTGTAGCCACTAATAATCTCCAATTGTCTTCCCTTATAACAAGCAATTAGTGTTCCACCAAAAATGACCCCTGAGAGCTCATTTTCAAAAAAATTCCATTTGAAATGAAAGAAGTTAAAAGTAGATGTTTGTATTAGTTTAAACTAATCAGAATATGCCAATTGCATAATCGGAAATTTCCCCATATTCAATCAGAGCGTTAGTCAATGTTGGTAGTGTTATAGCCGGGTCACTTATATACATGAGAATATCATCAGCAAACAGTGAAATTTTTTATTCTACTCCCTCCCGAATTCCCTTAATATTTGGATTTTGTCTAACATATTCAGCTAAAGGTTCTATACTTAAAGCAAATAATAGTGGACTTAAGAAATGAACATTTATTGTGTTGAAAATTCGATTATCAAAAGAATTTCTTGATAGAACTTTGAGTGTGAAGTGTTTCCTTATGTTTCAAAATCAAAACCGACAAAAGTAGCAGAGCGAAACATTCAGTAGTGTCCAGCAGGTGGCAGCAGAAGCACGTATTACAAAGACAAGTATGTACTGTATTATGATTTTATTATCGTTTTATCGTTCAGCGAGAAGTCTGATCATTATTACGCATCTTCATACACAAATTTTACATTTATATAGAGTGAATTATACAAAACAATGACATTTAGCACAGAGGAAAGTTACACATTTAATACTGAGACGATAAGAAGTGAGTTTTTGGCTGTTAAAACGAGCAACAAAAACGCCCAAAATAAGGATAAGTCTTATTTAGTATTAAAAACCGATGAGTGGCACAGTAAATTTCTAATAACTAAAAAATAAAACATGATAAGTGCGATCATTTTCTGTTTAGATCTACATTTTTATCAATACATTTCATTTTGCGTTTGAGCAAAGATCCAAAATTTTACTTTTTTTCCCTTTATTCCCTCGTCTCTCATCTTATATTATGAGTGTTATTAGTATTTAAAGGCGCACTGTGTAACTTTTCTGGTCTGCCATTTTCTTGTCTCCATGGGGATAATAGTGCTGCGCCTGAAATGTTTCACAGTATGGCATTAAAACAAATCTACAACGGTGTTTTTATTATGAAAAAAATGCCTTGAAAAACACAAATCAGATCAGAATTACACTTGGTCTGGTGGAGTTACTTACGAGAATTTGTCTGTATTGATAAATTTTAATGCTGTATTGTGTAACATTTCGGGCAAAACAGTTTCCATGGCGACAAGAAGACTGACTATACACCAGAAAAGTTACCTAGTCCACCTTTAAACGCACAAACACAACTAAAATATGGTAATTTCTTCTCCGTGTGCCTCTCTTCTTTCTCAATTATTTTAGGATAATTGCCGTTTTTTTCGAACCAAAACGTTAAATTTTGTAAAATATTAAAAAATTAAAACGTCCGATCTCGATTCACAGCCACTGAACTGAACGCGACACATTTCTGACATCAGATAATGAATTAAACGCACATGGCACAATAAGGATACACGGACACATTTTACCACAAAACTAACTAATAATTATGCTTTCTTGGCTTTAAAAAGTTGGACAAATCTTTAATATTCTACGAATGTTAATGCCACTGGAGTAAACTTTGGTTTTGTTAGACAGTGCAATGTCTAGCATGTGCAATAAAACACCTACTTTTAAATAAATGCTCTAGAAATTAAGCATTTGCAGCATTAGAAAATTGTGTTTTAAGGGTGCACTGTGTAACTTTTTCGTAACTTCACCTGCTCGTTTCCATGGAGATGCCGTTCACTCTGCGCTGAATGTTCCACAGTGTGACATTAAACAGCTCTGACTTGCATTTATTCAATTACAGGTGGTTTTATAGCTGGAAAATATCGACAAAAGACCTCAAATCTGACCTGTAACTCAATAGAAACGTTTAATGCCATACTGTGAAACATTCCAGACAAAGCGAGCAGCAACATCTCCATGGAGAAAAAGCATTTGATGGACCCTCCACCAGAAAAGTTACACAGTGCATCTTTAACTCTGGCACTAGAAGCAGCGTTAGTGGCATTAAAAAGTTCCTTGTGCAGCATTTGGTCATAGGTTTGCATAGGAATATTTGTAATACAAGATCCATATATTTCAAACTATTTATTATGGATTTTTTAAATTTGTTTACTGGCGTTTTGAAAATTGGGCTGTATGTGGTACTTTCTTTGAGTCCAACAGAGGTAATAATTAGTTTATAGTAGGGATTTAGAAGTGAAAAGGCACTAAAAATATAAATATTACTGTGAATAGGGTCAATTAAAGAGGGATTTTTAATTATATAATAGATTACACACAGACACATTGGTCTTGTTTAGTCTTGGGTTAAAACAGCTGATCACACTTGATTTGGTTCTGGTTTGGGCCCAGTTTTGAGTCCGTATGTAGATTTGGTTTGGTCCCGCTCTGGTCCTGGTTTAGTTCTTGTCTAGTTCAGGTTTAGTCCCAGTTTTTATGTGGTGTAAAAAGTAAATGCACCCTTTGTATGCTCCTCTTCTAGTCCTGGTCTAGTCCTGGTCTAGTCCTGGTCTAGTCCTGGTCTAGTCCTGGTCTAGTCCTGGTCTAGTCCTGATTTGGTCCCAGTTTATTCAAAATTTTTATGTGGTGTAAAAGTAAATGCACCCTTAGTTTGCTCCTTTTCTAGTCCTGGTCTAGTCCTGGTCTAGTCCAAATCTAGACCTGGTCTATTCCTGGTCTATTCCTGGTCTAGTCCTGGTCTAGTCCTGATTTGGTCCCAGTTTAGTCCAAAGTCCAAGAAAATGTACCCTTAGCTTGCTCATTTTCTAGCCTTGATCTAGCCTTGGTCTAGCCCTGGTCTTGTCCTGGTCTTGTCCAAGTTTAGTCCTATTTTTTATGTGGTGCAAAGGTAAACATACCCTTAGTTTGCTCCTGGTCTAGTCCTAGTTTAGTCCTATTTCATCCTGTTCTACTCCCAATTTAGTCTCTGTTTAGTCCCAGTTTTTATGTGGTGCAAAGATAAATGTACCCTTAGTTTTGCTTCTGGTCTAGTCCTGGTCTTGTCCTGGTCTAGCCTTGGTCTAGCCTTGGTCTAGTCCTGGTCTAGTCCCAGTTTAGTCCCAATTTTGATGTGGTGCAAAGATAAATGTACCCTTAGTTTGCTTCTGGTCTAGTCCTGTTCTAGTCCTGGTTTAATCCTGTTCTAGTCCTGGTTTAGTCCACGTTTAGTCCCAATTTTCATGTGATGATTGTGCAAGTGTAAACGCACCCTTTTGCCACTGTTCTAGTCTTGGTTTAGTCCTGATCTAGTTCTGGTTTAGTTCTTTGTTTTATCCCAATTTATGTTTTGCAAGTATGAACTCAGTTTTAGTCATTAGTTTTGTGGCCTTTTAGTTTTACTCTCCTTGCACCGTTGTAATTTACTACTTTTTATGCCTTTTTGTAAAATTCTCATTAAGTAGTTACATTTACACATAGTTTTTTTATATTTACTTTTGATTACATATTGATATATTTATTTTCTCCAGCAAAATATCTAGAATTTACTCTGAAATATTGTGCTCATTTCAACATTTCTAAACACTAGCATTCTACAACACATAATTATAATACATTTAAAACTGTAAATAGCAAGTACCACATACAACCCAATTTTAAAATATTGTTAAAACTACATGTCACTAGCGGAGGTTCAGCTCTAGCATATTTTATCTGTAATGGTCCTTTCCCGTTTATTCTGTTTCAGTGCACCACAATGATACAACGACATCGCTACAGCTACAATATGCATCTAATACAAGAACTACTGTTAACATGAAGGATATAAGAGTAACATGAAGTGGTGTGTATGAGTTTTGTGGCACTTTTTCCCCTTGTTTTTTCCAGTTTTTCTGTCATCTGCCACGTTTACATGAGAGCTTTAATTCCGAATCAAAATAATTTCATTCTGAATAAAGATGAATTCCACTTTAAAAAGACCATGTAAACACGTAATCCCTATTGAATTATTCGAAATTAAACTTAATTCCGAAGTAAGTGGGTGGTTTATTCTGATTTTAAAGCCGAATTAAAAGTAAAGGTTTATTCTTTTTAAACAATAATTCGGGTCGTTTAGCGCATGCTCGTTGAGTTGCCCTTCTGATGCAATCTGGACGATGCAGCTCCACCAGTCCTCACTTCGGACTTTCATCCACTGCTCTATGGATTTGCGAGAGGGATACGGAAGTGGGCTGAGGTAGAGGTTTGTCTTCCTCCTCCCTTCTCTGAAACTCTCCCCGTCTCCTCCTCAGTTGACAGACGTAAAGCGGGATGAAAGAATTCTAAAACTGCTGCTTAATTATCATCGGAACAACTGTGGAAAACATTTGGATCATGTTTGTGTCCGTGGAGTAACGACAAACTGAGATGACAAAAAAGACTGTAGCAGCTGAAGTTTGTGTTTTCTTCTGGTCAGTGTAAATACATTTGTGCGCCCTCTGTCCAATCAGAACCCTTCCCCACCCCCAGATGTTGAGCAGAATTAATTCAAGACGATTTAACGTGTTTTCCATGTAAACCTCAATTCGGAATTAATATTTCCATGTAAACTCAAAGCAGAACTATTTAATTCAGAACCATTAATTCGGAATTAAAAAACATCATGTAAACGTGGCCATTTGTTGGATTGGATTTTCAGACAGGTCCGGTCGGGGTTGGTCCGGCCGGGGTGGGTCCGGTCGGGTTTGGAGCAGTGTTGGAGTTCGGAGGAGTGAGCTTCATGACGTTGAAAAACTCCACGAGCTGAGAGGGGACTTCAGCCAGCACACTTTTGGCTAGTGCCTCTCTGGGAGCCTAGAAATAAAAGAGGAAAGTGAATCAGCAACAGGGTAATAAAGAAGTTAGTGTGTTTAGAATGTTAAAAAAAAACAAAACAAAAAAAAACATGCAGTTACTGATACTTTGCAGCCGATGTCGTCAATATTCCCTGGGGGTGTGATGCTAATTAACTGAAGGTAGCACTTGGTGTTGTTTTGTTGCTCAAATTAAACTTTAATCTGAGTTTTGTTTCTGATCACAATCTGACCATAAATATCCGATTTAGTTGGAATTACAACAGTTGGTCTGATTTGTCTGTAAACAAGTCCCTAAAATAACATTATAGTCACAAGATAGCATTAGCATTAGCGTTAGCATTAGCATTAGCGTTAGCATTAGCCAGTAGGATTTTTGTTTTTTTTTTTTTTTTTTTCATTAGCCAGCAGTTTTCAATTAATCACTCTCTCCTTCGTGTTTAAAATCAAACTTTTAAACATTATTGTATATATTTATTTATTGTATATATTGAGTTTTCAGAGTATCTTAAAACTTTTTGGCTTTGTTTGCTAACGTGTGCATTGTATCACCGTGGTAACTGATGTACATTCCACTATATACTGTAAACACTCATGAAAAACACCCCCAGCGAGATGTAACTGCAATGTATCAGTGTGAGTTAGTGATCGTAAATGAAGCAAGCGAAGAAAGCAGCAAGAGAATAGATGGAAGAAAGTTATGGCAGGATATTATTTGTCAAACTATTCTGTAGGGGCAAATCCACACTTTGTTTCCTCTTGGGTGGTGGTCCTAAGGTGGCACCAGGTCTATAAAGCTTAAAATTAATTTGAATAAAGCATTTTTGCAATTTTTCACATTTTTAAAAACTCAAATTGTGATGTTAATTCAAGTCATTTCTTTTTTAACACCAGTATACTGTCAAGTGCTAATCACATTTCAGAACTGGCCTGTACTAAACCTCGCCCCTGCTAATTTAATAACACTTAACTATACAATGGAAAAACAGCTTGGCCAAAAATGTAAGATATAAACACTTAAATCTATCAGAAAGTGACTTAAAAGTAGTAAAATTATCTGTCCATACAGCAAGATCTTAAAAAAAAAAACTACTGCTAGACTAGAATTAAACAGTCTCAGAACTAGTAAGTAGATAATTAATCCGAAAACAGGACGAATAACCTGATATAAGTTTTAAAATCTTTAAGATCAGAGAAATTTGAAATGCATTTGTACCTGCTTTATGAATGCTAGAGCTCGAAGCACATTTTATTTGTTGCATAGCGTATTATACTTAAGAGTCATGTAATTACAGGTTATTGCAGATTACTATTATTACAAGAGTGTTACATTGTCTTTAATCATTCTTGAATAAGCCATCTGCATTTTCAGTGTTATCTAAGAACAAGCATGCATGTTACGTTTTATTTAAGCTTAATCAAACTAAATGTATGAAACAAACAACACATATTGCAAATTATCATTATTATTATTATTATACAGAGCTATACTCACTTGGTAAATGGTTCGGCCTCTGGAAAAGTCTCAAAATATCTGACCTGATATTTGGTTTAATACGGCGTACGTTGAACATGTACGAGCAAACATTAGTGAATGAAATGGTCCATGCAGTCTGATGTTAGAGCAGCAGAGATGGAGACGGAGCAATGGTATGAAAGTGGCTGTACCTGATTTTTTTTCCTGTGTATTTGAGCAAAATGTTTTCACTCCAATACAGATATTTATTTATTTAATTAATCTATATTGTATAAGCAGCTCTTGGGATCAAAATAGTCTGCTGTGTGCTGTCTGTATCTAATTATAATTAAGTGTTTTATCCCCCAAGAATCAGGAAGAATGGTTAAAGGTGCATTGCGCACCTTTTCTAGTCTCCATGGAGATGTTATTGGTTTGCCTGGAATGTTCCATGTTGTGACATTAAACACATCCATGTAGCATTTATTCATCATGGGTGTTTCTATTGCTTAAGAAGAAAAAAAATCTCCATGTGAATAGGGTTGCCTCTCCACAGATCTGACCTGTAATGTAGCCAATAGTTCAGTGGTGTCAAACTCAAATTCACAGATAAATATTTATAGACAAATTTCAACAACAGCTGCATGTTTCCTCTTCTTTCAAGATACATAATATTAAACTTTTTCTTATTAAAATAAATGTTTAATAATAGTTTTGCTTAAACACTGAATCCAGAACAAGCAAAATATAAAATAATAACAAAATTTTAATAAATAATGTCCGGGTCTGAGTTTGACATGTCTGCTATAGTTGTTTCCCTTGACATAAATAGGTTTAATCTCTACCGTGGAACATTATTGACAAAGCAAAAACATCTCCATGAAGACAAGCACCAGAAAAGTTGCACAATGCATCTTTAAGTTAAGTGAGGAATAACTTAAAATAAATTTGTTTAGTTTTTGACGTTTTTAAGCCAGTAAAAATCAGGTAGAGCGTCTTTAAGCACACGGGTGGGATGTACCCTATGACGGGCTGGGCTCATGGGGAGGCTTCAGTTTCATTAAAGTGAAGTATGACGACAGTTGCTGCGGTAACTCGGCCAAAACACTTTGGGCTAAAGCCTGGATGGGCGCCTGCAATGACACAAGGCACAACAAGTAAAAAGTCTGTGAGCTGTTCTCATCCGAGGGACTCATATAGACGCGGAGTGTGTTTTTAGTTTTCAATGAAGCTCCAGAAATTAAAAAAAAAATCTACAAACTTAAGCTACTCATCTAAGAAACCAGTGCCTTCTATTGTCTAGAATCGCTGGATGTACAAAACTTTTTGAAACCTGAGTTTTTATAGTACTGATACTTCCCTGGGGGTGTGATGCTAACTGTAGGCTCTGCTCTGTCTGAAAGTCTGTTTACTCAAGTTAGACTCTGCGCTTTGTTTTAACACAATCTGACCAGAAAGAGCTGGAACTACAGCAGGTGAACTGATTTGTGCTGCAGAACCATGAATGCTCGAATTGATCACAGGCTCCTGAAAATGTGCCATTTAAATCCATTTTGTATTTTTGAGATTTCAGACAATCTAAAAAAGCTTTTGGTAGTTTTTACTCATTGTGTCAAGGTACCTGATGAACATTTCGCCATAGAAATACAAAGAAATATACAGAAATACATAGAAATACACCCCCAGAGTCATGTCTCTGCAAAGTACAAGAATCCTGTGTATTTCAGAACCTGTTTGTAGAGGTCTTAACAGCAGAGTTATCAAGGTTTATACATAACTAAGCCCAATGGAGACAGGATGTTTTGTAATCTCCGGAGAACACTGCACCTTCATAACTGTATTCCTTGTTATTTGACAACTGTGACCATTCAAATAATGATTTTAATTCATTTATCAAAACATTGCAGCTACAGTATAGTAGGGGGTGAGGGTGAGGGCTTGAGGTTGAACTATTAAAAAGTTTATATGTGAAGATTTAAAGGTCCTATATTAAACAAAATTGACTCTTGTGAGCTTTAAGCGTTGTTGTAATGTTGTTACCTCATCATAAAACATACCTGGAGTTGTGTTTTGTTTTATTCACACGTTTGAGTATTTTCCGCACTATAGGGCGCGCTTAAAAGCCTTTAATTTAATCAAAAAATGACTGTGCACCTTATAATCCAGGGCGCCTTATATATAAATTTACTGGGGTGTCTTAGTATGACTTTAGTAAACTACAAAGCCGCACCACTTGCAGCATTACGGCTCCCGTAGTCAGGAGCATCGCGGAGTAATACATAATGTGATTCCTTTTAATATCAAAATGCACCTGTCAAGAGACACGCTTACAACGCCCACTTTAAACTCAAGGCTATAATAAAGTTAAAGTGCGAGCTGCGTGGGAGCAGTGGATGAGAGAAGGAAAACACACATTCACCAAGACAGGGAGACAGAGCCGAGCGACTTACCCCGCGATCTGCCAATGGATCGTGGACGCCTGGACTAAGGATCAATATCAACTGTGGTCCGAGCTTTCACCAAGACCGGAATCATCACTGAACGGCCAGGGAACAGTAACCACACTGACTCGGATAATGACGAGAGGGATGTGGGCGAGCTGGGCGCAGTAATCGCCCGACTGTTTGAACAATTATGAGTTATTGTGAATACGCGAACAATTTAGCGTCTCAGACAGTATTTGTTTTACACGTTATAATTGATCAAGAGTTATTGACTTATTGTGAACGCGTTAAATACCGTTTGACTGACTGTTGTGTTTCATTTAATGTGCCTTATAGTCCAGTGCGGTTTATATGTGAAAAAAGTTTGAAAATAGACCATTCAATGACGGTGCGCTTTATAATCCAGAGCACCCTATAGTGAGGAAAATGCGGGAGTCTGCCTATATCAACAAAGCTCAAACTCGAGGCGGTAGTTTTCAAGTTAAAAGCTACCGTTTCACCTTTTGTTCAGTAGAGATTGGCAATTCCAGGGCTGAAATTATCCAAATGATTCTAGTGAAGGTGTATGGAGTTTAAAAACACAGTGGAACACTTCCTGTATTAACACATGATGTCGAGAGGTGGAACAGAGTGTTTTCTGTCTGAGAGAATAACACAGCCTAAATATACAGGGTTTGTGAGTTAAACATGTGTGAATGAAACAACTTCAGGTTTGTTTGTGATGAGGAAACATTATAACATAGATCAGAAAAAGTGCAAATTTCTCACAATAAAACTGCATTGTTTGATTTGGTCAGCATTAATGGAGGGTCAGGAGTATATCAGCTGCATGCAAATTAGAGCACCACGGCAAAAGCAACCTCTAAAGAAGCACTAACTTTTCTGGTAGGGGTCCGTCACCTGCTTGTCACTATGGAGATGTAACTGCCTTGCCTGTAAAGTCCCACGGTATGGCATTAAACATATCTATCTTGCATGTTTTGTTTTTTTTGCACAAATATATCTTGGCAAAACATTAGGGATATAACAATATCCAAATCTCTCGATACGATAGTCTCACGATATACATCTCATGGTACGATATTTATTGCAATATTTTGTAAAGATAATACAAAATTGTGAGTATGCTACTTTTCTCTCGTCATCCAAAAATAAAAAAAAAATACGATTTTAAAGTGCTTCATAACAGTTATTTTAGCCTGTAGTTTGGACTGAAACAGAGCAAAGGATCATGGTCTATGTAGTTCTCACTATTTTTTAGCTGTTGCTGCACCAAAACAATTAATTTAAGCAAAGAGACTTGAGATTGAATATATTGTGAGACTTTGGACAATACAATATCACGATATTTCAATTATTGTTACATCCCTAAAAAACATGTATTCATAGTTTGAGCCAGATCGCCTCTCCCCAGATCTGACTAAATTGAGTTTACTGCTTTTCTTTATTGAAGCCGGTTTAGAGAAATATTTTAAAGCCATACAGTGAAATATTCTACGCAAAGCAGTAAAATCTGCATGAAGACAAGCAGACAAGCAGCAAACCCTCCTTGAGAAAAGATCCGCAGTGCCCCTTTAAAGCCACACTCACGTCTTTGAACTGTCTGAATGGCACAAACTGCACGATGTCCCTCATGGCCGGCTCTCCGCTCATAGACTTCAGGCGCCCGTCGTCTCCGTCGAGGAACTCCATGGCGGTGAAGTCGGCTCCGCCCACTCCCACGATGATGATGGACATGGGCAGACGAGAGGCGTTCACGATGGCGGTGCGCGTCTGGTCCATGTCTGTGATCACGCCGTCAGTGATGATCAGGAGAACAAAGTATTGCTGTGGGAGACATTTGACAAAGAGACAGGGACGTCAGATTTATTTGGTTAAAACACGGGGTTGGTGTTAGCCTGATTCATCAGCCGGTTTCACTTCATAGAAACCGCCTGACCTCACAGCGTTAGAATTTGTTTGCGCAATGGTAGGAGGGTACTTTTTTTAAATTTAACCAATCGCTGCTATTTGGTCGTGACGTATGTAATGCGCTGCTAACGAGGCCAACTGGTATATTAAGCTTTTCCCAAATCCCATAGGAAGAAGGGCAATAACGTCTTTCCCTTTCCCCTAGATAAAATTCACCAAACATTCTCTTTGTTCAACAGTTTCCAAAGTGCTGCACAGATTAATGAATACAATAAAAGGCAGTAAATCATAAATAAAAACAATAAATAGAAAGTGTTAAAATGCATAAAGCTAAAAATTAAATTAATTAAAAATTAATAAAATTAAATAAAATTACATAAAAGACAGAGGACCACACAACTCAAGCGGTGGTAAAAGCCAAAGAGTAAAAGTGGGTCTTAAGACGAGACGTAAAACACTCCACTGTGGGGGCTGTAGGGATGGGGAAGGGCAGAGCGTTCCAGAGTTTGGGGACGACCGCAAATAAGGCCCTGTCCCCCCTGGTTTTAAGTCTCATCTTAGGCCCCATGAGCTGGAGCTGGCCCTCAGGCCTCAGGGAGCGCGAGGGCCAGAGTAAATCTGGATGAGGTCTGAGACGTATTGTGGGGCGAGTTCCTTCAAAGCTTTAAAAACAAACAATAAAATCTTAAAATCAATTCTAAATCGAACAGGAAGCCAGAGCAAGGACACAAGTGAGACGGAAAGTGCGTTGCGAGAGATGCCCGTGTTCTTCAGAGCGCTATCACAACACAATTAGAGTGCATCTTGACAAGGAAACTACTGCACATTGCATCAGGTTTGCGAAGCTGTTCTGTACCGTTTTGCACCATGTATTTATTATTTATTATATTTACAGAAAATTGTGGAAGCATGGATGGCGTAGGCTGAGCTTTGGATAGGACCGTAGTGCTAATCATAGGAGGATTTGAATAGGGAGAGATCGCTAGATTCAAACATGCATGAATGACATAAAACCTCTTCAAGCATGTTTTTGCAGAGCGAACAACGAAATAACATGGTAGAAAGCTCCAAAAAGTAAAATTAGCATAATACCCCCTCTTTAGGTACTCTTCTTATCTGACCTTTTGAGCTTTTAACCATGTTACAACATTGTTCCCTCATCAAAGACATACTGAGTTGTATTTCGCTTCATTCACACTATCAGTAATCCTCTGTAAAAAGTCCTTTGCCTCAGAGTTTTGGAAAATACTCAGTTTAAATGTTCTAGGATTGTTGTGTCACAGGTAAAAGCACAGTGCGATTTTTAAGTCCATAAATCATCAGCAGACTTATTTTAAGCATTTCTGTGACTCATTCTAAGATTTGTTTGGAAAATACGCAGTTTAAATTTTCCAGGATTGTTGCGACACAGTGCAGTTTTTAAGTCCATAAATCATCAGCAGTCTCTTTCCAAGCATTTTTGTTGTCTAATTGTGCTCATGTGCCAGTAGATGGAGTCCTACACCAGATTCCAGTATGTGGAGTACACAAATACTCAGTTAAAATTTTCAGGATTGTTGCGTCACAGGTAAAAACACAGTGCAATTTTTAAGTCCATAAATAATCGGCAGACTCATTCTAAACATTTCTGATGTTGAATTGTGTTCATTACTACTGCGTGTTTACATTAACATATTTGGGCAGGTTCACTATCAGTTATTTTTTTTTTTTCCCCATGATAATTCCCTTTGTTGCCAGTAGATGGAGCCCTACACCAGATTCTAGTATGTGGAGTATAAAACTTACAACATAATTACAGATTTTCATATTGCTTGGTCATGGCATAATCTATGGGATGGTCAGCCTGAGTGAGTGACAGGTGGATTTAACCAATCACAGAGAAGAGTAGAGTTTCAGAAGCATCAGATTACATCCTAAAGGAAATATAATGTTACTCTGTGCACTCATTGACCTCAATCTTGTTTTGGTGATGAGCTGATCAGGTATTTTATAGCAGAATACCAGCAGCTGTTACTTTAATAACTATAATAACAGTGATATGAGCGGAGGATGTGACACAGCCGGTGGAACCAGAATCTTTCACATTTGTAGACTGATCATAAAAGTGTTTTACCGTAGTCACAGAAAACAATGAGTGGGCTGTTACTTAAACTTAAACAACACTAAAATCTTGATAGAAAAAAGTTAAAGGTGAACTATGTCACTTTTTTTCTGGTGGAGGTTACGCCAAGCACTTGTTTCCATTAAGAAGTTACTGCTTTGTCAAAAAATTCACGCGGTATTGCATTAAATTGATCGGTCTCAAGTCAGATCTGTGTTTTTTAGTGTATTTTTAGCTATAAATACTGTAATAAATGCAAAATTTTAAATAAAATAGAAAATACTATACTGAGGAACATGCCAATATTTGACAAGCAATTAAATGAATACAACATTTCAACGTGTTTGAATCACGTGTAGCTCTAGGACATCATTAAACCTTTTATACATTTTTATCTATTTTAATCTACAGGTAAAAACTGAGCTGGAGCCAAATAAAGTTACAGGTGTCAAAATAGATTAATAGAAGGTATTTCACTGTCCCCACACCCTGTACGTTTGTAGTTTTGTTTGTTTAAAGTTGGCAACATCAGGGATTCCCAGAGAGAGTTTGGCAGAGGATCTTTTGGAAGATGTTTCACAGGATTTGCATAACTTTGCCTTGAGTAAAACTGGCAAATGTCCAATGTGTCATGTCGTTATAGCAACAGCTCAAACAATACAGCTGGGAAATACTTCAGGATAAGTACTGGACGATATGAAAATGTATTTAAAGCAGACCTGTTCTGCAAAATTTATTTCTCAGAGCTTTAAACCATGTTATGGCTGTTTCCTCTTCTCATTTACCCTCTCGAAGTTGATTATAAAATGATTTGTGCATGACTGAGCAATTTTTAATTGCTTATTTTCGATTGCTAATCAACACCGTTTTTCACTGGCACACACCCACTGCCCTGTACTCTACTTTGTTCTACAATTTAAGACATTTGTAATCGGATTTGGCAGCATTGTGTAGTCATGGTACGAATGAAAACAAATCCTGCAGCTATCCACAGGAGGGGCCATCATCTTCACAGCTCTTTGTCATGATGACTGCAACCGGGATGTTTTAGATGAATATTGTGATTTAAATGGTCAAAATTACAACAGAATGATCCACGGGTGTCATAATTTAAAAAAAAAAAAAACCTTCTCACATTTATCAATCACAATTTTCTACTTAATTTGGTGAATTAAACAAATAAACTGATTTAAATATTAATTTCCTAAACATAAAGAAGACGTTTTTCAAAACTGTGTCATTTATCACAAAAAAGTAAAAGTAATTATGTATTTTTAAGTAATAAAATTTTAAGACAATCTTATATACTCTTCTATATTGTCATGTTTTGGTTCATTGCTGGACATATTGAAAACGAAACAGAAAAATTCCTAAAAAGACTTTTATTATATCCAGAAGAAATATTTTAAATCCTAATGTTAAAATTCAAAACATCTGTGTTTGCCTGTTAAAGAAATATTTCCAACTGAAGCCCCAATATAAAATTCAAAACATAATGTAAGGTACAGTATTCATCTTATTCTGGAAGTTGCTGTGGGTGCCGCAATCATGATTCAGGTTGTATTATTTTGAATTTATTTATAATACAAAAATAATTCAATACTGATTATAAGATGTTTTAAAGCCTCCCAGAAAATCAGTGCAGTGTTGACTTATTGGTGCACTTGAACACTGAACATTTTACACCGAAGAGCCACCACAAAAAAGCACAGTTTAGGAGCGTTTAGAGACAAAAGTGAATAGGTGGTGAATAGGGAATAATTGCTGCTGATACTCACAGATGCAGTGGTTTGCTGTAGAGCCTGGTTGGCGAAGCAGGCTACGTGGTTAATGATGGGAGAGAAGTTCGTGGGTCCATAGAGTTTGACCTGAGGGAGGCATATCCGATAGGCCTCCACTATCCCTTCAACACCTGAAACAGCAAATATTTTACAAAAACTTTTATTAAAATGACAGTTTAATATTGTGTAAATGTTAATGAATAAAAATCCAGTAGTGTTACCTGCACAAAATGGGTTTGCAGGGTTGAAATTGAGAGGAAACTCGTGTGAAACCTAAAAAGTAGATGAGACAGCATGTTCAGTTTGCTTCTTTTTTTTTTTTTTTTTTGTTCTTTATTGAGAAGTCAAAAAAGTGAGAAAGAACAGACCAAGTGACACAACACATAATACCATAATGATTATAGAAATACAATTTTACTTGACAATAGTTAGTTTAAAATAAAATAATAGCCTTTTAATACCATAACAGTTCAGAAAAAGTAAAATTTACATCTAGTTTTATATAGTCTAGTTGTTTTTTTCTGATAATCCTATAATTTGTTTACATTTTATAAAGTTGAGGAGAAATCACAGTTTAATTTCAAAGTGCATTGTGTAACTTTTCAGGTGGAGGGTCCGTCAAAAGCTTTTCTCTGTTGTCTGCAATGTTTCACAGTATGGCATTAAAGCTTTCTATCTTCATGGTGACCAAACCAGACCAAGTTACAGGCCAGATCTATGGAGAGGTGATCCCACTCAGAGTCAGAATGACTGTTTTTCTAGGTATTTCTGAGCTATAAAACTGCCTGTAATTTAGTTAAATGTAAAGTAGAGCTGTTTAAAGTCATACTGTGGAACATTCCAGGCAGAGCAATGACGTTTCCATAGAAACAAGCAAGTAACAGACCCCCCCAAAGAAGAAGTTACACAGTTCACCTTTAAGAGAAAATAAACAGAGCAGGAAAAATAATATAACTCAGTACAAAATGCTTGTTTTATGTTTAATATTTTTTGTTTATTTAACTTAACTTTAAACTTTTTTATAATCTCAACACCCATTGCCGTACCATAATGACAAAAACACATTATGGTAGACAATAATATATATTTTTACTACAAAATAATAGTTCTGATATGGGTCAATTCCGTTCAAAAGCAAGAAAGGTTAAATTTCATCCTGTATGTATTTTTCCTGTATGTAATTTCAATATAATATAAAATAGCAGCTTTGAGTATTGATTTTTACTTCAGTATATATTTTATCTTTTATAAAAGTAGTGAAAAAGCATAAATCTTTCACAGTTTAAGGCAGTTTTTAGGCACCACATTTCATTTCCACTGTGCTTGTGTCCAGTTCATTTTGCATTTATTTACATGTATAAAACCTCACCTGCCACGAGGGCGGGATCTGAGCGCCAAAACCAAACGCAGGGAACATTTTATCACTTAAAAAGAAAAGGATAAGTTTGTATAAGAACATTTACATCACAAAATGCACAACAATAATACAACTAAATGTACTAAAAGATCTGTTTACCTGTCATAGTCTTGAATGACATTTCCAACAGACCAGATCGCGCTGAGGTACTCATTGACTCCCTGTGGGCTGATGTAGTGGAGAGAATTGGGGGATCTGGGGTCTCCGTTTGAACCAGTGAAGTCTACAGCCACCTGGGGTTAAAATACACAAGTTAGACGCTTTATACTTTATATTTACGGCCCTAAAAATGTCAAAAACAGAATGAGTTCGCAGTGGTCCAAAGTCATTTTTCACTTCTGAGTTAATAAGTTTATAAGTGCTTTTCACTACTGTCAATGGCCAGAGCAACCATAATGACAAGTAGCATGCTAACAGTGCAATTCCTGATGACTGGACAATAGACCCTTTAAAAAAATGTAAACAAAAACATTCTAAATATCAAGAATCCGTGGCAAAAAAGTTGAGTCTGCTACAGTTTGTCACTTCATTTACAGATGTATTACTCCATTCTTCATAAATTATATTTTTTGTGCAGCTCAAATACTGCTTTGAGGTTAGAAATTTGCATTTTTCCATCCTTCTTAACAGAGGACAGAGTAAGTAATATTTGTACCTTGGAAATTCAATTCAATTTTTGTTTGTTTTTTGTAATAATGTCATAAAACCATCAGCATTTTGATCTGTGAATCAGTTAATCATTGAAAATATATTATGTCAGCTTCACCTTGGCTCCAGTTGCCTCCATTACAGAATTTTGGACATTCTGATGAAATAGGGTTTTAAAGTAGAACACAGCACATTTGTTTTGGCCTCAAGAGCTGCTTATACAAATATCTGCACTGGACTAAGAAAAATTTGGCTCAAATGGAAAAACCATCAACCATCAACAGGAACATATCTTTAGATAAGTGGGGGAAAAAAATATTAAAATATTGCAGATAACAGGAAGCTGAAATTTCTGAAACAATCATCAAAAACTTACAGTAAAATTGATTTGGCAGCCTCCCATAATGTAATCCAGGAACGTGTACTCCTTCACCACCTGCAGAGGAAGAAATACATGTAAAGAAATATAAAAGTCTGACAATAATAAGGTCATTTGTGAAAGTTGAGCTGTGTAACTTGTGACTGGTAAGGGATCTGTCTCCAAAGGAATAACCACGGAGATACCAGGTAACGACACCTGCCATAAAACTTACATCGTGCACCTTGAAATTATTATTGTTTTTTTCCTCATAGGTTCTCAGTGCAACATTTGCACTGATCCAAAAACTGACTTAAGACTGTACAACACTGTACAATAATTATAGAGAAAAATAATAACGATAAGAATGAAAACGTTACTCTATGACCTATTTCCTTATTTTGTTTATTCTAAAATGTGTTTATTATTTTGTTTTTGTCTCAATTAGTTTACACATTTTGTTTTGGTTAATTTGCATATTTAATATATTTTTACTATGTTAATATTTTTTATGTTTGCAAATTAGTTTAGTCTTTTTTGTTATTATTTATCTTAGCACTTATTCTGTTTTTAGGTTAGTCCGTGGGGCACCTAGGGGATACAGTAAAGGAGGGTGTTTCAGCTGGACCAGAGTGCAGGTTTTATAAAAGCGAAAAAATGCATAGCACACTCAGATGGCTGATGTCCAAAAGCTTTTTAAAATTATTTTTAAATAACATTTCGGCAAAAAAGCCTTCACCAGATCATTTTTGTTGCTTTGGATCACAGTATACGAGCCTAGGGTTTTACCAGTGGACAGCAGGTGTAAGCTTGGTCATGTATCCTTGTTGTTTGTCTGGCAAAACTTGGAATAAATCTTGGAAAATGCATCTCTGGACCTGGACAAAGGATTGTTTTTCTGTGCGACGCAAACCACATCCCCATGGTGCCCAAAGGTGATTATTTGAGTTACGTTTAGTTCTAAGTTTTCTCACCACTTTTGTTTGTTAGTTTCTGATGACAAATAGTCACTATAGTTACAATGCCCATCTGAAAGTGGAACACCAAAACTTTCACCCACAAACCCACAACTGCATTTCACATAAAGCTGCTAATCTTAACTGCAAACTGACCGGTGACTGTATACACCATTTAGTAGTGAAGAAAACTTGATTTAGTGTTTAGTTCCACTTTATGTGACAACTCTGGCGCCATTATTTTAAAATTAACTTAAACCCAAATCCAGACTTTACCTGACACAGTTTCACACTGATGACTCCTGAGTTCTTGTATCCCTTCTTCTTCTGCTTCTTTTTGCTGTTGATGCAGTCAAACTCAGCCTGAAAGAACAGAGAGAAAATATAAAACAAACAATAACAAAGAAAGTCCTGTTACATGTAAAGTAAACTGTCATAAATATTGTTAAAGTTAATGTAACTAATCACTCGCCACCAGTAAATATAGATACAAATAAAAATGCATACAACTAGCACTAAAAAAGTATATTTTTGACATAATTGATGTAATAAGAAGTAATCATAAATACATAGTTAATAAATGCATCTGTTTTCTGCTGTGGTTAGATTTAGATGAATTTCACTCACAGGAGAAACTCGCGATGCTTCCTGTAGCCGAGTCATCGTGGTCTCAAACACCCCGATCAGATCATGTGACCCGTCATTATCGTAGTCGTAGCACTCCACCTGAAACACATTTTAACATGTTATATGGAAAAGAAAGGAGTAAATAATATTATGTTTACCTAAGAAACACATTTTTAATTATGTAACACTCAGATAGAGGCAAATTTTTGAACCCACACTGCACACAGAAAACTCTACTTCATCGATTTGAGTTCATTTAAGATTATATTTTAGATTACATTTTATTTTTCAAGCCTAGAATATACTGATATTTGTTGTTAATATTGTTTTTCAAAATAAATACACTTTAATTTTTCACATGGAGTTTTCCTTGGTTGGCTGCCAGCTAATTTAAAGGAACACCCTGTAACTTTTCTGGTGGTGGATTTGCTTTCTTCTTGTCTCCATGGAGATGTTACTGCTTTAATGTCATTGTTAATTCCATTCAACAGTGAGCGGGATCTCCTCTCCATAGATATGACCTGTAACCTTGTTTCCATGGAGATGGATAATGCCACACTGCTGAGC